TAGGAGAAGGTCTGTAGCAAGGAAGGGTGTATAGAGGAGAAGAAGGTTGGGCTCGGGTACTCCATGTAGCTCCTTATCTCAGAAGGGTGAGGCTTTCTAGAGGAATCTGCTATTCAATGAAGCTCGAGCTACGTTGCATATGGGAAAAATGTTGGGGATGAACTGTATGGATAAGAAGGAGGAGATCATTAATTGCATTGTGGAGATGGAAGTTAAGGACAAGGGCGAGGTTGGAGATGGGTGAAGGAATGCTCCAGTTTAAGCGGGTATCAGAAGGGGGTTCTAGGTGTAGTATGTTGTTCTTATGAAGATGATGTCTTGGAATATTAGGGGATTAGGTAGAAAAGAAAAAAGGGCAAAGATTAAAAAGCTAGTCAGAGAGAGAAAGATTGATGTCCTTCTATTGCAAGAGTCTAAGAGGAGTAATCTGGATGATAGGTTTGTGAAATCATTGTGGCCCTGGGAGTCTTTGCAGTTCATGGCAGTGGATTCGAAGGGTAGTGTAGGGGGTTTACAATGCATTTGGAATCAAAATGTTTTCAAGCTTGAAGAGTGTTGCAGTACAAGGACTTTCATTTTACTATCAGGTACGTGAAGGGGGTTCTAGGTGTAGTATGTTGTTCTTATGAAGATGATGTCTTGGAATATTAGGGGATTAGGTAGAAAAGAAAAAAGGGCAAAGATTAAAAAGCTAGTCAGAGAGAGAAAGATTGATGTCCTTCTATTGCAAGAGTCTAAGAGGAGTAATCTGGATGATAGGTTTGTGAAATCATTGTGGCCCTGGGAGTCTTTGAGGTTCATGGCAGTGGATTCGAAGGGTAGTGCAGGGGGTTTACAATGCATTTGGAATCAAAATGCTTTCAAGCTTGAAGAGTGTTGCAGTACAAAGACTTTCATTTTACTATTAGGTGCGTATAATCAAACATTTGATTGTGTGGTAGTCAACATATATGCACTGAATGATGGTAGGAAAAGTGGTCAGTTGTGGGAAATATTACTGAGGTTGAAGCCATTCTTTCGAAATCCTTGGTGTATCAGGGGAGGGGGGTGGGGGGAATTTTAGTGAAGTTAGATTTTTAGGTGAGAGAAGGGGTTGTTTGCAGCATGATAGAGACATGACTGAATTTAATGAATTCATAGAGAAAATAGAGTTGTCTAATTTGCCTCCGTTAAGAATGGGGTTCACTTGGTGTAATTCTAGTGAAGGTGAGAGATAGAGTAGGATTGATCGGTTTGTGTTGGATCCTGAATGGTTGGAGGTGCTTAGGCTTAAGCAATGGGGATTGCCAAGATCTGTGTTTAATCATTGTCATTTATTGTTCATGGAAGATGAAAGAAATTGGGGACCTAGATCGTTTAGGTTTCTAAATGCTTGGTTCCTTCATCCTGACTTTAAGCCAATGGTTAAGAAGTCTTGGGAAGAGGCAAATGTTCATGGGTGCGCAGGGTATAGATTGAAAGGTAAATTAGCAAAGCTTAAGTTGGATCTAAAAAAATGGAATGTATAAGTTTTTGGAAATATGGAGCACCAGTTAAAAGCGGTAGAAGAAGAGTTACATGCGATTGATTTGCTAGCTAAAGATGGGCCATTGCTGGACACTATCAGTGCTAGAAGACGTGAGTTGAGAATTTTAGTATGGAATTACAATAGAAGGCTAAAATGAATGTGGCGCCAGAAATCTAGGCTAAAGTGAGCTCAAGAGAGGGACAACAACACACGATTCTTTCATGTGATGGCTAGTAGAAGGCAGAATAAGAATGTGTTAGATTCTATTGTTGTAGATGAGGTAAGTGTTGGGGAACTGAGTACGGTAAAACAAGCTGTGTTTAGGCATTTTTAAAAACTTGTATTATGAGATGTGGAGAGGAAGACCAAAATTGGAAGGGCATTTTGTTACTATTGACAGGGAAGGGGCTTTAGTGGAGTTAATAGCTGAGTTTTCTGAGGAAGGGATGTGGGCTGCTATGAAGGAATGTGACGGAAACAAAGCCCCAAGGCCAGATGGGTTCAGTCTTGCATTTATTTGGAAAAATGGGAAAGTCATGAACAATGAGGTTATGCTATTCATGCAGGAGTTCTATGCAAATGGGAAATTGGCCAAAGGGCTGAACAACTCATTCATTGCTTTAGTGCCTAAGAAGGAGAATCCTGTGGAGTTGGTAGATTATAGGTCGATCAACTTAGCGAACTCAATTTACAAAATTCTGGCCAAGGTCCTATCTAGGAGGTTGAAAAAGGTGATCCCTGCAGTGATTAATGAGGTTTAGCTAGTGTTCATAGGGGGTTGATGTATCCTAGATGGGGTCATGATTGCTAATGAAGTCATTGAATGGAGTAAATGCTCAAAGCATAGAGGGGTGATTCTGAAGCTTGACTTTGAGAAGGCATATGACTCTGTGAATTAGGACTTTTTTTTTTCGTTTTCGATGTCATGTAATTTTGGATTTGATGAAAAGTGGCTGTGTTGGATTAAGGAGTGTTTAACCTCTTCCAAGATCTTTGTTTTGGTCAATGGATCACCCACGGATGAGTTCGCACCACAAAGGGGACTAAGGCAGGGTGATCCACTATCACCATTCTTATTTAATATTGTGGCTGGGTGTCTTAATTTGCTTCTAAGTAAAGCTAAGCAGCTGGGATCAAGGTTCTGAAAAGCGGTTGCGGTCGCCGTAACGGTGGTGGTGATGCGGTTGCGGTTGCGGGGTGTAAAGGCCGTAGTGTAACGGTTGCGGTAACTGGAACCGTGAATTTTTTTATTTTTTACACAATTTGAAAAAAACTTACCGATACGCATATTTTTTTTCCATGATCATATTTATTGGGTTAAAAATAAATATTGATCAATTTTTTATAAGATAAACAATGATAAAAGTAAGAGAATAAATAAGAGCCTAAATATATATATATATATATATTTTAACCAAGCCAAATAGATAATGACCAAACTTATTATTATTATTATTTTCAAACAATATATAGATAGACACACACAAACAAAATGGTTTAGTGATAGCAGCTAAATAGAATAGTATAGGTCTTATAGTTTCAACAAATCAATAACATGTTCTTCATCTTCCCTCTTCTCTCTCTCTCTCTATCTCTTGCCCCTCTATTTTCTCTCTTTATCTTCCCTCTTCTCTCTATCCCTCTTCCCCCATTTTTAGCTTTTTTTTGTGTGTTTTTTTGAAGGAAACAGTTTGGAACCGTTATGTAACGGTGTGTAACAGGCCGTTACGGCTGTTACGGCACCGTTACGACCGCTACGGCCGACACACCTGTGAATCTCAATCACACTGCAAAAGCGGTCGTAACGGGTGGCGGTAACCTCCAAAACCGTAACGTAACGGCGTTACGTAACGGTTGCGCCCACTTTTTAAAACCTTGGCTGGGATTGATTAAGGGAGCTATAGTGGGATCCAACAACATGAGCATTTCACATTTGCAGTTTGCAGGTAATACAATAATTTTTTGCGAAGTTAAGGTATTGGAGTTGGTTTCAATTAAAAGGGTATTAAGGTGTTTTGAAGTAATGTCGGGTCTCAAGATAAATTTCCACAAGACCATTGTATGTGGATGGGTATTTCAGACAGTGAGGTAAATAAATTTAGTGCTGTGTTGAATTGCAAAAACCAGAAGTTGCCAATGATGTATTTGGGCCTTCCTTTAGGAGCTAATCCAAAAAGGAAGTCAACTTCGCAGCCAATGGTCGACAAAGTGAGGAAGAAGTTGTCTTTTTGGAAGAGAAGTTGGTATCTTTTGTAGGAAGATTAACATTACTCAAGTCAGTTGTGTCATGTTTACCATTATATTATATTTTGGCCTTCAAGATGATGCGTAAGGGAGTGATTAGGTTGATTGAGAAGTTGCAGGCCACATTTCTTTTATGTTTTTTTTTTGGGGGGGGTGGTGGGATGAGAAAGAAAGTCCATGTAGTAAAATGGTAGAAGCTAACCAAGGCTAAAGGACAAGGTGGTTTAGGGGTTAGAAGCATAGCATACAAGAATGTTTGTTTACTGTTAAAGTGGTGGTGGAGGTTTGGCGCAGAGGATACAGCACTTTGAAAGCCAGTAATTTGGAATATTTATGGGAGGGTCGGTAGTTGGTGGTGGCCAAAGATGGGGGATGTAAGGAGAGTGTCTCCAATCTGGCAGGGTATCCTTGATCTTGCTCAGGTTAATCCTTGGTTACTTGAGTTTTATCTTGATAATGTAAGAGTGAAGGTTGGGAATAGGGACAGAATGAAATTCTGGACCGATAAATGGTGCAACAATAGAAAGCTCAGTGAGGAATTTCCAAGGTTCTGTATTTCTGAAGATAAGGACAGCTCTGTTATGCAATATAGGCAGAGAATGGGGAGTTTAGGGGATTGGAATTTGGGGTTCAAAAGACAGCTCAGAGCTTGGGAAGAAGAGGAGGTAAGTAGACTCCATGACTGGCTGATGATGTCCTTACCAATAGTGGGCAAATGGATGACTGTCTGTCGTGGGAGTTGAATTCATTGGGTCAGTTCATAGTGTCATTAGTTTGGTTGTGGCTACAAGTAGTTAGGGGTCCTGACTTGCGCGTTGCCAAATGGTTATGGCATCACTGCTGGAAATCAGGATTTTAGCGGCGTTTTTAAACGCCGCTAAAGGTACTAAAAACGTCACTAATTCTTTTTGTGACGTTTAATACTAAGCGTCGACAACGCGGCCGTCGCTATAACTTTATGACGTTTGAAAAACGTCGCTGCATCAGAATAGGCGGCGTTTTAAAAACGCCGCAAAATGTCCTATCCTAACGGTACTGTGACGTCACTATGATTTAGCAACGTTTTTAAAACGCCGTCATATGTTTTTAATTTTAAAAATTCCAACCTTTACAGTGGCATTTTAAAAACGCCGTCTTATCTTCTTTTTTCTTTTATTTTGGAAATTGTGCTAATTTTTGTGATTGAACTAAAAGAACACCTGTAATAAAACTAAATAGTACTAATATGAAATAATAACTCCCATTCAAATAATAAATACAGCATCAATTCACTTTCTCATTCAATTTAATATCCAATTACCATTATCCACAAAACACATATCTAAAAATTGAATTTACAATTCTCAATAAAAAAATTACTACCTTACATACAAAGCCACAAAATAACATTACCCTCTTCTCTCTCTCACCACTCCCCCATTTAACACAAAATAAGAAAAAAGTGAACCAAAACACCCAACCCCCCAGTCTGATCAGAGGAAAAAAAAGAACAAAGAAGAGAAATAAAAATCCAAAGGATTTTAACACAAAATAAGAAGAAAGGGAACCAAAACACCCAACCCCCATCCATCCTTCACCGTCATTCTGAATCTCTCTCCATGTTGCTTCCCATTGCCTTCAATCCTCTCGGTCTGCCAATCGTAAAACATAATAATAATAAAAACAAAGCCAATAAAAGATGTGCAGTGAATAGATATGAGGATTGGCAATAGATAAATTTTGAGTTCAGTCAACATAATAAAGTAACAAAGTTTTGTAAAATGTGTATATAAAAGGAAAAACCTGGATATTGTTGATTATGATGCTCTTTTGATGAGCAAGAACCAGATGCATTTGATGACCCAAGACTTACTTTTGAAATGGCTTTCTGAGAAGCAAAAGCAACATATACAATATGAGTATAAAGCTTAAAGTACAGGATAAAACATGTAAACAATTGCTATCTATCTATTTAGATAAAATAAATAAAAAAAAGTAATCAATTTGTGCTACTAATTTTATATCTCAAATGAACAGAGTATATACACTTATCAGCATGACATCAAAATATTGAAAAGCACAATATAATGGTTTAGGAATTTTGAATTCATCTCTCTCTCTCTCTCTCTCATCCAGTTTCATCAGCCTTGAAAAGACTATGTTCTCACATTATGTCAATGATCCCATGTCTTTCTTTTTGAGGATGGTGACAAAGTCCATTTGTTGGATAACATGGAATCATATGAAATGAAAAGAAATTTTAGGAGGCAATATAGACCACATGATTATTCGAATTAAGAAGAAAAATATTATTAGCATATAAAATTGAGGGTAGTAAAGGAAGGAGCACCAACTTTCTTAAAATTAAAGAATATATGTCTAGTGTGGTTTAATTTCTCTATCAAGATGGTGACAAGTCCATTTTTGTGGTACTATGGAGCATGGAATCACATGATGGGAAATAAAGTTCTAATACAAAAGTTGGTCTTTGTTTCGTCTAGCAATTCATAGGTTTCATTTTCTAATTTCTGTCATGTTGAAAATCTCCTAGCACATTATCAGTTTCTTTATATTGTGGATTCACTACAGGAATTATAGGTTTTGAAGACGTTTATTTAACGGCGTTTTATGAAACGCCACATTTTATACCATTTAACGGCGTTTTTCAACCGTCGTTTTTGTTTTATGTTAAAACGGCACCGTTTCACTATGTTATCTTAGTATAGATTT